TGAACTCGATGAGCTGCGGTACCTGATCGGTCATCTGAACGGCGATTTTCACGATATTCGAATCCTTTTGAACCGGCATTTTGATTGCTTGCGTGTACATAAAAGAAGCGAGAACCGTACGGCAAGATGCGCGATTACGGTGTTCCGCTGCTTCACTTTGTTTACAATCCGTTGGCGAGCTTTGACGTTTCTGCTGTCATTCGACGATTTCTGACTGACAGCGACCCAACGATCACGTGACTGCAAAATTAGAGCAGGCGAGCTCGCTTCCGCTCGTCCGCACCGGAAATGATGCTAGCCTGTGTATATTTTGTGTGTGTGTGTGTGTATGTGTGTGGTGTATGTGTGTGGTGTATGTGTGTGGTGTGTGTGTGTGTGGTGTGTGTGTGTGGTGTATGTGTGTGGTGTATGTGTGTGGTGTGTGTGTATGTGTGTGGTGTGTGTGTGTGTGTGTGGTGTGTGTGTGTGGTGTATGTGTGTGGTATGTGTGTGTGGTGTGTGTGTGGTGTATGTGTGTGGTGTGTGTGTGTGGTGTGTGTATGTGTGGTGTGTGTATGTGTGGTGTGTGTATGTATGTGTGTGTGTGTGTGTGTGCGCGTGACATGATATAACTGTCGCAAATTAAATTTTCCAATTCAATTTTTGCGTCCACTAGATTATTATTCTGAAATTAAATAAATTTATGAATTGCGCGAGAATTCAAATTTTCAAAAAACAATTTTAGGATATACACTGTCGTATGTATGTTTTGATTAAATTTAAAATATGTTTTCTTTGGAGATTATGACTTTGATTATAAAAAGATTTCTATGCTAACTGTCGCTTAATCTTTAATTGACGCTTTTCTATATCTATTTTCTATATACATATATGTACGTATATATATATACATACACATGCTTCATTATTAACAAAAATAAAAATGACAAGTGTACCGAGTAGTTACCGAAGGCAGATCTAACAGATCCCGCCGCGCGCAGTGATACATGGCAATACTGTATGATGATACTGGTAATATTGGCAATAGATAATATTAGCAATAATGACAATATTTGACAGCTGCAACGTTTTTCATCAAAGCGTGCTAGCACAAGAGCATCACGTTTCTCCGTGTGGTTTCAACGTACGTGAGTCAATTTAAAGCGGCACGAGAAACGATCGAAAAATGTCTAGCGTGGATTGGGAAGAAGTCAAGCGTTTAGCAGCTGATTTTCAGAAGGCACAACTCAGTTCGACCTTGCAAAAGTGAGTGACGCTCTTTACTCCACAATTCAGTTAACCTAATTTTCTTCATAAAGTGACTATGAATAACGTGATATTTGAAATCTGCGAATAAATTTTACTTGAATTATAAACATTATATTCTTGTTATCTGACTCGTATATAAAATATTTATTCATTATGTATTTTTTCATTACAGTAATTTATAAGAGCACCTCCAGATAAGTTTAAACATATGGTTGATAGTAACATGTTGATAATAATTATTGATAGTAACATGTGATGTAAATTGATTTCTGTTAGATATATTATGAAAGAGATGTAATTTCAAGATCAATTTCGTTATATTTTATCTATTAAAGATACAGTTGTTTTTATCATTTTTATAATTATTAAGAATTATTTAGAAGAGAGAGAGAGAGAGAGAGAGAGAGAGAGAGAGAGAATTAATTTTGATTACATCATATTTCATATTACTTCTTTTTTTCTCTTTATAATATTAAAATTAAAAGGCATTAGAAAAAAAATGAAATTAATTTTATTTTTTTATTATAATGTTAATAAGACATTATTTTCCATCTTCTGCACTGATCTGATATAAATATATATTGTAGACTCTCTGAACGAAATTGTATAGAGATTATAACAACATTGGTAGAAAACAAGCTTCTAGACATAATATTTACCAATGATGGCAAAGAATATGTTACACCTCAGCATCTTGGGAAGGAGATCAAAGACGAGCTGTATATTCATGGTGGAAAAATTAGTTTAGTCGACTTGGTGCAAATTCTTAATGTTAATCTGTCACAAATAACTAAAGCAGTAACAGAGATTGAGAAGCACAATAAAGGGCTGAAAGTGATATTGGGTCAGCTTATAGATAAGAGTTACATTAGTAAAATTGCGGAAGAGATAAACGATAAACTTGTACAACACGGCTGTATTAATGTGGCAGAGTTAACGCTCACTTACAATCTACCATCTGATTTTTTACTATCAATCGTCGAAAAGGAACTCGGAAAGATAATACATGCTATACAAGACTCTCAAGATCCCAAAATTTTTTATACCGAAAGTTTTATTGCTAGAAATAAGGCAAAAATTAAAGGCGCCTTGTCAGCCATCACAAAGCCTACGCCATTATCCGCAATACTCGGGCAATGTGGTGTACCAGAAAGAATATTTTTCTGTAAGTACAAAAATAGTACAAAAATAGACATGAAAGAGCAATCAGTTTTTAATGTTTACATACTTGAGTTACTACTATTTTCTTTCTATATATTATTAAATTCCACAATATTAATTCAACAATATCAAACTATTATTATTTCACAAAAAATTTTTTTAATATGGCCTATAATAACTATTATATTAGGTGTGGAAAAAAGTTCGTGGCGTTTTTTCCATTAGATGGCATTAAAAAAACGCCACGAACTTTTTCCCATACCTAATATTTGTCAAACAAAATAGTTTAATTTACCTTTTTATCTACAGACCTATTACTTAGTGCCACATTCATTTCTTTATACACACACACACACACACACACACACACACACACACACACACACACACACACACACACACGTGTACTATATGCACTATATGTATTGCAGCAATTCTGGACAGTTTGCAAGAAGTAAAACAAGTGCCAGGAGTTGTAACAGGGAAACAGAGTGGAAATAGCATTTACATACCTACTATATACTCTAAGAGTCAAAACGAGTGGGTTGAAAATTTTTACAAGCAAAATGGATATTTAGGTAAAATATGCGATTTACAGGAATTTCCAAAATATTTTTGTGTCTTAATGATTGAATTGTGATTTAATCTATTCTTATCTTATAGAATATGACGCTCTTACGAGACTTGGAATATCAGATCCGTCAGGTTTTGTAAAACGTCATTTTCCAAATGAAAACATGGTCTTTCTAAAGTCAGTGGCTGTAGGAACAGTAGTAACAGATCAAGTCGATGCCAATATCGAAGAGGTCATCGCGACCGGATCCTTCATTGATTTATATCCCCTTTTACCATCTGTATTTAGCGACGAAGATGCCGAACTTGTCATCAAATTAGCTACGAAGAAAATAAGGGTCAATGTGCATATATTTGCAAAGACAGTTATTGTTTCTGAAGCATTTTTACAAACTTTAACCAAATCTCTTGAAACAGTAGCGGAACAAAAGACTCGCGACATGGTAGCTAGCGGAAAATGGATCCAATCTATCGCTGAAAATAAATTAAAATCCAAATCTGCGGATTTAATCCTTGAGAGCAAAGTAAATAAAAAGGAAGAACGAAGGAAAAAGGCAACTATTGGTAAAGCAGGCGGCGGTAGTCAGGGCAGAGAAACCAAGACCAAGTCTACAAAGAAAAAATATCTTCAAGGAAAGATGCAGGAAAATGATTCTGACCAAGACGAGACAAGGCAGACAGCGATTGGAAGAGGTGAAATTACCGTGATAACCATGGAAGAAGTGAAAACGGAAGTTATGAAAGATGAGAATGTAGCCGTTATCGAAGAAATGGCAGACGAATTAGCATGTTATTTGCAACCAAAATTGAACAAGTTCGCCTTAACATTGGCAGAGCAAATAACATTGGCGCAATCCAACAAGACTACTAATTTAAGCGAGATTGGCAAATGTCTGAATATTCTAATAACGAACATTCGAATATTCGACAAGGGTATTAAATATTTGGATAAAGCGGATCAAGCTCCGCTGACCAAATACTTGCTCAAATCTCTAGGTATTGATTTTGTAACAAGTATATTCAAATTGGCTGCTCAACAAAATATGCTGCAAGTAGCGGAAAATCTCACAACAGAGACAAGACAAAGACTGCTGCTTGAATTACCTGCGGACGTTAAAGAACCATTAACCGTTATCCATAAAACCGTAATGGGAGATTCAGTGGAAGATTTTTTGAACAATGCTGACAGAGCGATGGCAGCTTGTTGTTTGGTTTTAAAAAAGTACGATAAAAAAAAAGAGCGACCACAGATACATGCTCATAGAGAAGCTCTGTTGGAGGAACTGAATGCTACACAAGATCCCGCATTGACACTGCATCTAGTTACAAGCGTGCTTTTCACCGCTGTTACGCAAAACGCCTTACATATGTCTGGCAGACATGTAACAACCGTTCTCGCCTTTCTTCAACAACAACTGGAACCCAATACAATGTCGACTCTTTCCACATATCATGGTATATAACGATTTATGATGA